GGGAGGGGAGGGCGAGGAGTGAAGGGGGAAAGGGGACGGGGGAGGAGACGGAGGGGGGAGGGCGAAGGTCGACGGAGCAGCACGACCCTCCGCCCCAAGGGCCTTCGGAGACGGGCGCGGAGCACAGCCGCCGCACCGGAGACGGCCGCTCGCTCGGCCCCGGGGTGAGCGAGGCCCCGTGGAGGTCGTCCCCCGGCAGCGGCCGCATGTCGTGTGCGCAGCAGTGCGTCAGGACGCCCTGCTCGTCGCGGTCGCACTGGACCGCCCACCGCCGCTGGCCCCCACCCCGGCCCGGCCTCCACTCCTGCGAGGGGGGCGCCGAGAGGTCCGCCGGCGTGCCCCCTCCTGGCACGAAGTGGGGTGTCCCCAGGACCCCTGCCTGGCCCCTGAGCCCTCAGTCATCAACACTGCAAAGACTCCCCACCAGCCTTCAGGGCGCAGGTGGTGTAGGGCGGTTCCGCTTCCACCCCTCCCTCTTCCCCTTCGGGGAGGGGTTCACCCCTCCCCCTTACCCCCTCCCCTGGACCTGGACGGGGCGTTTCGCGGGTCGTTCGAGCGTCCAGGATGGCCCAAGATGGCTCCAAGAGGGCCTCAGAGAGCCCACGACGACCTCCAAGATTGCCCACAACAGATCCTAAGATGCGTCAACATGGCTCCCAAGATGCTCCAAGAGGCCCCAAGACCGCTTCAAGACGGCTCCGAGCGGCCACGGAGCCTCCCCTGGAGGGCGCCAAGAAGCCAAAATCCTGAAAAACCCTTAGAAAAATCATTGACCGTTGCCTTCTCGCCTTTTCGGTTCCGATGGCCATCCGAGGCCTCCAGGCAGCTCCAACAGGGCGCATGAAGGCCCCAGAGAGCCCCAAGACGGCCCCAAGAGCGCTCAAGAGCGCTCCAAGAGGGGCCCAAGAGGTGATTCGGGGGGCTCCCGAGGGGGGAGGCTAATTGAAGCCCCCCCCTTCTTTGATCGATCTCCTCCAAGATGGCCCCAAGAAGCGCCCAGGAGGCCCCAAGAGGCTCCAAGATGGCCCCAAGATGGTTTCAATATGGCCCCAAGCGGCCCCCAGGAGGCTCCAAGAGGACCCCAAGCGGCCCCAAGAGGCCCCCCCGAGGCACCCAAGACGCCCAAGAGCCCCAAGGACCGCCGAGAGGCCCCCAAGACGTCCCAAGATGCCTGCCTCCAAGAAGCGTGCAAGAGATATCCCAATAGGCTCCGAGAGGCATCCAAGAGATCTCTGGCCCTTTTGCTTGCCCTCATACTCCTGCTCCTCCCTGGGTAGTCGAAGCCAATCTGGCAGGCCCAATCTGGCAAACGGGGGCAATCTGGCGAGGGAGCCAACGCGAATCCAGTCTGGCGAATAACCCAAATCATCCAGTTTGGCCGGGCCAGATTGGCCTTTGGGGCCCAATCCAATCTGACAGTCTGGCCTTCGACTACCCAGCCTCTTTCCTCCTCCTACTCCTTTTTTTCCTCCTCCTCCTCCTCATTATCTGTAGCAATATCGAGGCTTTTCCTCTCAACCCTCGAAGCCAAAGGACCTGCAGTGCTTGCTCCCTCTCTGCCCTAACATGCTGACTCCTGCACACGGGGGTCCCTGACCCCAGCAAATACAATCTACAACACGCCCCCTTGGAAGCTTGGCTACCCACTGAGTCGAGCTTTCAACTGACTCCCGAAAACTTGTCACGGTGGGGCGTCCCCCAAAAACCTGCTGAGGCGTCCCTCAGGCTAAAGAAACGAACAACTGAAACTCTGCCCAGCAAAGAACTCAAACTTCGCTGGCTGGTCAGCAAGCTCAACTCAACTTCCAAGGGAAAGAAATAGCTCGAAACTCTGATATTAAGCATGATGGCAGGAGGAGAAAAGAAGAGAAAACAGAACGGCTCAAGGCAAGGCGCAGCCGCTCAAGGTCCTATCAACTGAGCCTCATTCACTGTCAGTTCAAAAGAAGTCCCTTGGCCTTGTCCACACGCACTTCAAGGAAGGCACCGTGCGCGTGGTCCTGGACTGGTTGGAATCGAGGGACCGCCCACTTCCACTTGTAGGTCATCTGGGACTGCGTGCTCACGTTCCTGGTAGGCTGACTCGGTCGCATCATAACCAGTGAGGCTGGCACGCCTGGAAGCGGATCCTCCATCTTGTCTGTGTGGGTGGTCTCCTCTGTCATCTCATTGGGCTCGGGCGAGACCAGGACCCAGTCCGAGTCCCGCATGCTGGCGTAGCGGAACCCCGCGTAGCCGCTGATGGCCGCCACGATCAGTGTCCAGACACCCACCATCATCAGGAAACCTGTCCAGTCGCTCGTGGCCATGCCATCCCTGGAGCAGACCTCCGTGTCGTAGTAGTAGCTGCTCTGGTCGGCGACCTGGCCCTCGCAGCCCTGCAGGAGCGTCGCCGCCGCCGTGATCATAGCCAGGGCCGCCGAGCGACTAGCACCGAGTGAGCTCGTAGAAGTTCTCGAGCTCCTGACCCGTGCTGCCGCCCCCACGTCGAAGTCCACCTCCTCCGACTGATGGTTACTCTCCGCGACCTGGCCCATGTCCGTGTAGATGCCGTTGAGCGTCCTGAGCTTGACGAAGCGATCGTGTCCAAGGATCTTCGTGCCCAGGTCCGCTTTGTTGTCGTCGGTGCCGACAGTCCCGAGGTCCATCAGCTTCCTCTTGATCGCCTGCTGAAGCCAAAGAACTCGAGCCTCAAGACTCCGCACCTTACCAACTCCTTCACGTCGGGCAATGCCTCGCGCAGCTGACGAATCCGTCAGCAGGGTGGCTGCCACCGTGAAGCCCATGAACTCAAGAAGTGACTTGAAGTAGAGCAAATCCTCGGCGACCGCCGTCGCCGCATAGTACTCAGCAACTCCCGAGCTAGTGGCCACGATGCTCTGGCGCCTGCTGAACGAGTGCATGGGAACACCATCGATCTCGATCTTGCCGCTCGACTGGGACCTCCTCGTCTGCAAGTCGCCTGCCCAGTCGCTGTCACCAAAGCCCACTAGCTCCACGTTCGTGCCCTCCGTCGGTCTCGGTAGCCAGTTCACCGCATTCCTCGTCCCAAGCAGGTATCTCACGAGCCTCTTGAGCGCAGTGAAGGCGCCGACGGTGGGGCCTGATAGCATCCTGCCCAGCAAGCTGACCTCGCACTGGCAGTCCGCCCTGTCCTGGACGTAGTACATCAGCGCCCCCGCGCATGAGCGGTAGACGCCAGCCTGCTGCTGAGAGAGAGAGAGAGTAGGAGTGCTCCCCATGAGCGCCTTGCGTGCTGGCACTCCAGGAGTGGGAGCCGTGTTGGAGCCGCCGAGGTTGAGGGTCTCCACCACGTAGTCGAGGTACTTCGGGTTGGCCTGCAGCTCTGTGCCGTGCTCGTACCTCGTCCTCAGCCTCTTCAGGTGCTCGTAGGTGATGCCGTACTCGTGGATCTCCCCGCCGCTGAAGGTCACATGCTGCTTCAGCTCATCGCGGAAGCCCTCCAGCGCCTCCTTGGATCCAGCCATGTGCAAGTCGTCCATGTGCAGCTCAACCACCACCTCCGTCTCAGGGTTGTAGAAGAACTGCGGCGCCACCTCGCATCTGGTCATCTGCATCTCGTCTGTGAGGATGCCCGCCATGTGCTCCACCCAGCCTGGCGCTGCCGTCCGTCTCCCAGGTAGTTGCTTCTTCAACTTCCAATAGATCTCCGTGTCCTTGCCTTCCGCCCTGAGCATGTCCAAGTACTCCTGCGGGGGGTCAACCACCACGTCCTCGTACTCTGGGGCCTGGTTAGAGATAAGAAAGTCCAATAGAAAGAAAGTAGAAGAATAGAAGAACAGAAGAGAAAGTAAAGAAAAGCTAAAGAGCTAGAGAAAGAGACAGAAAGAATAGAATAGAAAAGGATTTAAAAAGAAGAAAAGAATTAGAAAGAAAAAGAAAAGATAAGAAGAAAAGATAAGAAGAGAAAAAGTAAAGAGAAAGATATAAAGAAAAAGAACGAAGAGAAGAAAAAGAGGGAACGAGAAAGAAGATAAGAGTAGAAAAAGATAAGAGGAGAGAATACAATTATTACAAGAAGAAAGAAAGAAAAAAAAAAGAAAAGAAAAAAAAAAGAAGAAGAAGAAAAAGAAGATAGAAGAACAGCAGGAAGAAAAGATGGAAAGAAGGCATCCGTCGCGTCGAGCGTCATCACCTCGAACCCGCGCTTGAGAGCCACAAAGTCGACCAACCTGTTGGAGATCGGAGCCGATCCAGGTGTGAACAGGTCGTCACGCCACTCCTGCCAGCGGAACTCGCGGCAGACGAACCGCACCTTGCGCTGCCACTCCTGCAACGCTGGCTTCCATCTCCATTGCCTCTCCCAGCGCGTGGTGATGTGCTTCATCCCATTCGCCTTCGACTTGGCGATGTCCTCGCCGACTCCATGGTCCAGGAGGCTCTGCAGGTGCTCCATGGTGAGCTTCTTGTCCAGCTCATCCTGCATGTCCACGTCAAACATGCCATCCGTCGGGTCCTCCACCTCATCCGAGACCTCCTCCCAGAACGCGTCAGGCGAGTCATCCACGTTGCCAACCTCCAGCGCATGAACCGCTGCAACTCGTGCTCGCTTGCCTTCGGAGACCTCTGCTGCTGGCGAGACCCCACGTCTCGCTGCCTGCGAGGGCGCCGCCCCCATCGCCACATCCCTGGGCGCCGGCGGCTCTGGTGCTGGGGGCTGCGGCTGCTGAGCCGCTGCCGCTGCCGGCGGGGGTGGTTGCTGCGGGGCCTGAGGCTGAGCAGGCGCTGCTCCGCCCTCTGGCTGTCCTGCCTGCTGCGGCTGGGGAGCGTCAGGCTGAAGAGGTCCTTCTGCCCTCGGTAGCTCCGTCGCGATCTGCTGAGGCGCCCGCCTGCGTTTCGACCTCTCGGGGGCCGTCCTCGCAGCCCAAGGCAGCCCCGTCACCGTCAGGAGGAGCTCCTTGTCAGCCTGCCTTCCCTCAGGGAGCCGTCGCACCGTCCGTGCGCGGTCAAGCCCCCGAGGCGTCATCACCAGGTGCTCCTGCGACTCGTCCGACCTGCCGACCCAGATCCCTTTGCCCCACTGAGCCTCGCCTCGACGCAGACGCCGACCTCCAGTGAGACCTCGATGCGCAGGACGCGCAATCCGATACAGCACCGTCTCGCCGAAGTTGCAGATGTCGCCCTTGTACGGCGTGCCTGTCGCGATCTCGTGCGGGCTCTGACCTCCAGCTCTCCTCGAGAACCTCTCGTGAAGCCACCCAGCGTGACGCATCATCCACGCCCAGATTGGCATGGCCGCCGTCACCTTCGTGTCGTAGCGCTTCTCGATGTCCAGCCTAAGAACCCTCGTCTGGCCCTCGACTATCTTCACCGCTGCCTCCGCTGGGTTCGACTGGCTGCTGTGCTTGGGGGTCAGCTCTGCCGTGACCTTGCCCGCGAGCTCGCTGACCACGCCGTCCATGATGGCCTTCGTCGCCTGCTCCGTGTCCGTCCTGAGCCTGCACTTGCCCGTCTCGAGCCTCTGCACGAAGGACCTGATGCCTGCAATGGCGTATGGTGAAGCTGCCTTTGACGCACACGGAATAACCTTCACCACTCCAGTGTCAGAGCTGAACGCCACCAGCATCGTCGCGTAGGTGTCCTCTACCTTGGTCAGGTCCCCTTCCTCGTCGGCTGTCTTGCAGAAGCCGAAGTCGTAGCTGATGAGTGGGTGCTTCTGCTCTGAGTCCTCGAGCCTGACCAGCGAGTGAGGTGTATCAGGAGCTTTGGCCCTGACACACTCCTCGCACCACGGAGCAGCAGGGAGGTGCGTGAGGCGACGCTGTCTCTCCTCCTCCGCGCTCGGGGCCTTCGGAACTGGAAGCTGCTTCGGCTCGACTGGATCGTGCTGAATCCCGAGCTGCTCCTTCACCGCCAGCTTGTGCAGCCTCTCCGCCTCCGAGCGCCTGGCAGCCGCCTCTGCCACAATGAGCCGCTCCCACAGCTCCAACTTCGTGCCGTAGATCGGCATGAACAGCTCCCTCAGCCTGGTCCTCATCGCGCCGACCGAGCTCTCCGCCGTGAGCACTGGTGCCGTCGCTGCCTGCTGCTGGCCTGCCGCGCCGCAGCAGTGGTGGGCCGCTGGCGCAGGGCTCGCGGACACGATCGGGAGCCTAAGGCTGTTCCGCTCCAACTCAAGCTGCACGCTGCGGTGGCCCTTCGTCATGTAGAGCCCGTCCTCCATGCGGAGGTTGAACCTGAAACCCTGCCTGAGCAGCTTGCCCATGCTCAGCAGGTCATCATTCACATCGGCAACGAGGAAGTCTGCCGTCGCCTTGATGCCCTCCTGCATCGTCATCTCAACACCCCGTAGGCCCGCTGTGGGCAGCGGTCGCTGCTGCACGTCGAAAAGCCTGGGGGCATCCGTCGCACTGTTGACTGGGGCCTCTGGGACGAACTTGTGCCTGCACAGGTGGTCGTCGCTGCCGCTGTCGATCAGGATGGAGCCTCCAACCTTCGCCACCTGGCCGCTCGTCGCCGCTGAGACCGCAAACACCCAGCCGTCGGGAACGCCGTCGTAGTAGCCCGACGCGGCGCGGACCCCGCCCTCGGACTGCTGCTGTCCCGAGCTCGAGGCCGATCCATCTCCCTGAACTGCGCGAGTGTTGCCAGTCTCCTTCTTGGCCTCATCTGCCTTCTTCTTCCTGCAGTCGGCCCGCTTGTGGCCCCACTTGCCGCAGTAGCCACACTCGCCGTCGAAGTAGTCGGACTGGCCCTTGCCATGGCCCTGCTTGCCGTCGCGGTTCTTGGACTTCGTCTTCGAGTCCTTGCAGCCCTTCACATTCTTGCCAGCCTTCCCTGACTTGTCCATCTTGCCTGTCTTGCCAGACTTCCCGTGCGACTTGCCGCCATGCGGTCCAACTCGAACTGCATCCACCTGCATCGGCACGACCCCGCCAGTGTCTGGGACGTGGGTGAACGTCCGCCCTTGGTTGTAGTAGCCCCTGATGTGACTCCGAGCCGCTGCGAACGTGAGCTTCACCTCCTCAGGCGCCTGCCGAAGGACCTCACGGTACGGCTCTGGCGCGTGCTCTAGCAGCACGCTGACTCGAACGTTGTCCGAGACCGCCTCGCCGCTCCGGTCCACGTACTCTGCGACGATGGCCTCCCACGCCGTGAGAGACTGAAAGAAGTCGATGCCCGACTCCCGATCCTTCGCCCACTTGTCCTGAGGGTTCAGGATGAAGCGCAGCATGGCCGTCCACTTGTTGCCCGACTTGCTCTCATACTCGATCTTGAGCTGCCGCCACGCCTCCAGGCCATTCTTCCTCGAGAGCTTGACCACACCCAGCGACTTGCCGTCGCACCACGTGATCAGCAGATGCCAGAGCCTCTGGCTGACCGCTCTCGCCTGGTCCCCCAGCTGGTCCGTTGCCAGTGGGTCGCGCCTGTTGGCCGCCTCCGTCATGAGGTCCTCCATGCCAAGCAGCGCGGTGTAGGCCTCGAACCTGAGGCTCCAGTCTGCCCATCTCTCGTCCGTACCGTCGAACCTCTGAAGCCTCATGTCGGTCCGAACGTCGACGACATCGATCGCCGCCATCTCCGCCAGCACGGGCAGGAGGCCTGGGCGCGGCGAGCGAGCTCAGCTCCCGTGGGCACAGGAACCGAGCTCCGCTACCATGTAGCAATATCGAGGCTTTTCCTCTCAACCCTCGAAGCCAAAGGACCTGCAGCGCTTGCTCCCTCTCTGCCCTAACATGCTGACTCCTGCACACGGGGGTCCCTGACCCCAGCAAATACAATCTACAACATTATCATCATCATATTCATATTCCTTCTCCCCACTCCCTCATCCATCCATCCAACCTCCTCCTTCTCGTCCTCCCTCCGTCGCACGGTTCGGCTGTCCACTTCTTTGCTCCCGCACTTCCCTGATCACCTCAACTCGCCTGGACATCGTTTCTGGACGGGTTGGCGGGGATATTTTTTTGGTCGCGGCCGCCAGCGAAGAGCGCAGGCGGCGAACAGGGAGTCCGGACCGACGGGCGAACCTAAATAGCTGCTGGGCGCAGCACGAGCCGGCCGGGCCAGCTCACAAAAGCAGCAGCTGGGGCAGCGGCGGCGGGGGGCTGGCTGGCTGAACTGCAACGCCCAGGGAAGCTCAGGCATCTTGCAACCCTGCGGCAAAATGCCAAGGAATTCTGTGTTACGCGCTGTGGCGTCAGTCCACTCCGGTGGAGGTGCATGTTGAGACAGGTGGGATAACCTGCACGTGCGATCCTCACAGACACGGTGGTGGGGAAAGGCTAGGTACACACTGGTCGAGTCGCCAAGGGGCGCCAAGGGCCAGAGCCGTGTCGACGGCGTAGACCAGCCAGGTCGGCTGGGCCGGTGCGTGTCGACGGCGTAGACCTGCCTGGTCGGCTGGGACGGAACCAGGACGGAAGCACCGCGTCTGACGGAAGGCTGGACCACTCCGAGACGCCACGCCCGCATCCAGTGGGGCACACCAGTCCCGAGCAAGGGCAACGAACCAGCCCGGAGGCGATGGCCCGTTGGGCCCGGCCCATGGCCGCACGGTCACGACGTGAGCGTCGCGGAGAACCGCGTAGTGCGTGGAAGGGAAGCCAGACTGGCGGGATAAACGTCGCCAGCGCGGCCGGAGAGTAGGCACCAGGGGGCGACAGCGCCAGGGGGCGGCGATCACCCACGTCAAGGGGCCTGGATCCCAAATCGAAAGATCTCCCAGGGATTCCCGCGTCTTGTCGCGTGACTTGTTCGGAACCAGGGGGCCCCAAGACGGGCCAAGAGAGCCCCAGGAGGCTCACAAGATGGTACAAGAAGTTCCCGAGTCGTACATCGCTCCGAGAAACCCAAGCTGGCCCCAAGACGGCCCAAGAAGCCTTCGACACGCCCAAAAAGAGCCTTCCCAAGAGCGCCCCAAGAGGCTACAATCATTGTTTTCCCTGAGTTGCTTCAATGTTGTTGGGGTTCTCCACTTGTCGAGCTTCCGACGATCCTAGACCGCCCAAGAGCCTCCCAAGACAGTCCCAAGACGGCCCAAGAGGCCCCCAAGAGGCCCAAAGACGGCCCAAGACATCCCCCAAGGCGGCCCAAGACGCGCCTAAGACGGCCCAAGAGAGCCCCCAAGACAGTCTCAAGAGGGGCCCAAGAGTGGGAGCCCGAACCGACAATCTTCCATTCCAAGATACCCCCAGGAGGCCCTCACCGGCCCCCAAGAGGCCCCAGTAAGCCCCCAGGCCCTCAAGAGGCCCCAAAACGGCCCCCGGGAGGCCTCGAACTGCTTCCACGAGGTCCCCGAGAGGCCTCCCGCGACATCCCAACGAACCTCCTGCAGGGATGTGACCCACAACCCAGGCACGGTGGCGGGATGGGCCGAAGGCTCTTCGTATACCAATACCGCTACTTCCCCTCCTCCTCCTCCTCCTCCTCCTCCTCCTCCTCCTCCTCCTCCTCCTCCTCCTCCTCCTCCTCCGAATCCAGCCGTGGCGACGGGGGAAGGGTTGAGCGGTATCGGCATCTGTCCCTCCTCTGGAGTCCTCCAGCGGGGGCCGCGCCACCGTCGCCGCCAGCCAGAAGGCTCCGCAGCGCACCGCCACCCGGGAGCCCGCGGGGTACTCGCCGCCCGCCGCCGCCATTGGGCGGCGCCGGGGCGGCGACTCGAAGCCGCGCTGGCTGCCCTGATTAGGGGGCCAACAAGCCCACCTCGCTTTTGACCACCCTCGCTTCCAAGAGATACCAAGCGATGCCAAACTGCAGCCTGTGCTGGTCAGGCCGCTGGACGAGGAGGCGTGTGGTATGACTCGGTTTTGTCCGGAAGCGAAAGCGGGGTAGGCAATTCACGCTCTGACTGCTGGGCTGCCTCGACCTCGGCGCCGCGCTTGGGCGGCGGCTCGAGGCCGCTCGGGCGGCCCTGCCGGGCCGCCTCGAGCTCCGCCCAGAACTGCCCCATGTCCACGTGCTGGCCGATGGTCGTGTGGCCCGCCCCCGGCAGCACCCGCAGCACGGCCCCCACGCCGACGCGGTCGAGCTCCAGCTTCAGCCGCTCCAGGGCGTCCTGGGTGGGGGGGGAGGCAGAGGAGGAGGCCAAGCTGGGCGCGCTCGCGCCTCATCTGACACCCTGTCCCTTCCATCCCTTCCTGCTGCACTCACTGAGTTGTCTCCGTGCGCGGCCGCGTGTCGTAGCCGACCTGGACCTCCATGATCCCAGCAGAGCACCCCAGTAGCAGCAGAGGTGGCCTGTGGGACCTGTGGGGCAGGCGGGAGGGACTCGTGCGATCTGTGGGACCACGCGAAGCTGTGGGACTTTTGTGGCCTGTGGGACCTGTGGGGCCTGTGGGGCCTGCGGGACTTCTGCGACCTGTGCGACCTGTGAGACCTGCGACACCTGTAAAACCTGTGGGACCTGTGAGACCTTGAGGTCCTGCGAGACCTGCGAGACGGGACCTGTGGGACAAGCGAGACCAGAGGGACCCGTGGGACCTGTGTGAACTTGGGAACCTCCGTGGGACCTGTGAGACCTGCGACACCTGTGGGAGCTGTGGGACCTGCGGGAACTGCGGGACCTGTCGGACCTGTGGGACGTGCGAGACTTGCGGCACCTGGACCTGTGGAACTTGTCAGGCCTGTGTACCTGTGGGACCTATTGGACCTGTGGGACCTGTGGGACCTGTGGGACCTGCGGGAGGACCTACGACACATGTGGGTTCTGTGGGACCTGTGGGCCCTGCGAGACCTGCAAGACCTGGTACCTGCGAGGCCTGTGAGATCCAGAAAAGTGGCCCACGCTGGGGAGGGAGCGCCATTCTGAACGACGGAAGCAAGGCGCCGATCCGAAAATGAGGCCCACGCTGCGGAAAACAATCGGGTTCGACAAGAAGCATAGTAAATATCATCAATGTTTGAAGTCCTCGGTGTGCAAAACAATACGCGGAGATGGCGGAGCTACGCCCCAGATTACTTCAGAGGAGGCCAAAGAACAGTTGTCATTTTGAACAAGCGTGGAGGAGGAGGAAGAGGAGAAGGACCCATGCAAACCCAAGACGCATCAACGATGTCGTAATAGATCCCCCTTCCAAGGTCCCTCTAAATAGGTCCCTAACTTTACCTGCACACACTCCTAGAAGCGGCCCATTATTGACAATCGCGTGAAAATCCTCACTCGTGCCAAAACATCGGACATGGGACTTCAAAGCCACGGATCAAACTGATTGATGCGTCCTGACAATCCTGAGTCTTACCAGAAAACCACTCCTGGGACTCCAACACCGCGGATCAACATGACGGTTGCGTCCTGACAGTCATGAATCTTGTCAGAACACAATTTCTGGGACTTCGGCCACACAAGCCCTTGAAACTGGTGCATTGTATTACAAACAAATGCGCGCGGCGCTAAGGCGACAGACACATGTTGAAAAGAAATCACCCTCCATCCCTGAGGCGACTGCAAACGTTAAAAAGGAAGACGAGCGGTGCTTCGGCGAGAACCAATTCTTGAAAACCACCCGCCCTCCATCCGTGAAACTGCTGCAAACATTTAACACGAATGCGCAGCGCGAAGGCGAGAACCACATTTTGAAGCCACCAGCCCTCCACCCGTGAAAATGTTGCAAGCCTGTGTGACGAATGCGCGCGGCGCTAAGGCGAAAGCCAATGATGAAAACAAACAGCCCCCCTCCCGTAAAACTGTTGCAAACACTTAACACGACTGCGCGGCGCGAAAGCGAGAACCACATTTTGAAGCCACCAGCCCTCCATCCGTGAAAATGTTGCAAACCTGTGTGACGAATGCGCGCGGCGCTAAGGCGAAAGCCAATGTTGAAAACGAACAGCCACCCCTCCCGTAAAACTGCTGCAAATGTTTCAAACGAATGCGCGCGGCGCTAACTCAAGAGCCGCATTTTGAAAACGACCCGCCCTCCACTCGTGAAACTGCTGCAAACTGTACGAGCAAATGTGCGCGGCGCTAACGCGAGAGCCGCATCTTGAAAACGACCCACCCTCCATCCGTGAAACGGATGGAAAGTTCAACAGGATCACGAATGGCGAGGACATCTCAGGCGAAACGCCCGGCCCGTCCTAAGGACACGTCTGGGGCTGCGACAGGGAGGAGGTATTCACAAGGGAGAGGGATGGAGGAGAAGGAGGAGGAGGAGGAGGAGGAGGAGGAGGAGGAGGAGGGAGGAGGATGGAGGAGGAGGAGGAGGAGGAGGAGGAGGAGGAGGAGGAGGTTCGGTTTGCACGACCTCGTCAGCCGGGGGGGCTGCGCAACTCATGAGCGGCACAGCTGCAGGGCGCCAGGAGAGGCCGGGGGCGCCCCCTCCCGCGGCCGGCCCAGGCCCCGGGGCTGGACCCAGACCTGGGCCCCGGGCCCCCCCCCCCCCCCGCGCCCCCCCCTGTCCAGGACCCCCCGCTGCCAGCTCGCACAGCAGAGGGGGAGAGCCGCGCGGGGGCGGCCTTCCGAGAAGCCCCCCTTGGAGGGGGCGAGCCTCGCCGGGGAGGCCCGCGGGCCAGGAGGGCCCCGTCGAGGCCGGGAGGGCTGCCCGGCAGGCCGCGCCTCGCGCGCGGGGGGGCGACCTCGCACAGGAGGCTCCAGCCGAGCCCCCGCGCGCGAGGGGAGGCAGGGGGCGCGGGAGGAGCACAGGAGGGCGCAGCCCCCAGGGACCGGCCTGATGCCCGAGCTCGTCGTCGGCGCCCGCGTACAGGCGGATCAGGGGCACCTGGTCGGGAGCGGCCAGGAGGGGGGTGTCCAAGAGGGGGGGGTGCAAATCATGACCGGCGGCATGTGCGCGGCCCAGCGGGGGGGCCAGGGACGTAATGAAATAAGAAGAGGCGCCATAAAATCTGGGGCATGGCCCCCGCCATGATATCCGCCCCCCCCTAGTCATCACCCCCCTCTTTTCCGCCCCCGACCCGGGAGAGCGTCGACACGTCCCTCACGGGCCTCGGGACGAAGCCGGTGACGAGCGTGAGCGAGGCGACCAGCTCGGGCGCCCGGCAGGCGGCGGCGAGCACGGTGGCCCCGCCGTTGCTGGTCCCGACCAGGTGCAGCCTGCCGCCCTCGATTGGGGCTGGCAGCATATCCTGTGCAGCCGCGGGGGGGCGGGGCGCAACAGCCCCCCCCAAAAAAACAGCGATGTGTCGCGAAGGCTGCGTCCACTCCACCGCTCGCGCTTTTTGAGGTCACCTCTGGTGCTCTACACCCTCCGATTGTCCCCCTCCTCCAGGTCCTCCTTCGCTCTCCTCCCCACTTCTTTTTCTTCTTGATAGCACACATAATCGGATTCATAGTAATACGAATACCAATAATGCAACAGTAGCGCCAAACAGAAGAAGAAGAATAATGATAACACATATCATTACGATCAGCATAATCATCATCATCATCATCATCATCATCATCATCATCATCATCATCGTCATCATCATCATCATCATCATCAGCATCAGCATCAGCATCAGCATCATCATCATCATCATCATCATCATCATCATCATCATCATCATCATCACCATCGTCATCGTCATCGTCATCGTCATCGTCATCAGCATCATCATCATCATCGTCACCATCAGCATCCTAATCAGCATCACCATCACCATCATCATCATCGGCATCATCATCAACCTTATCATCATCATCATCAGCATCATCAGCATCATCATTAGCATTACTATGTTACTATTAGTATTACTCGTGCTGTTGTAAGTACACTGGTTATTGTTATTAAGAGTATGAATATACCTTAATAATAATGTTTTATGAGTGTCATTAATTCCTCCTCCTCATCCTCCGCCTGCTCCTCCTCCTCCTCCGCCTCTTCCGCCTTCTCCGCCTCCTCCTCATCATCAGCATCATCTGCAGTAGCATCCTCATCCTCATCATCATCAGCATCCGCGTCAGCATCAGCATCAGCATCAGCATCCTCGTCGTCATCATCGTCAGCAGCATCAGCATCAGCATTATCATCAGCCTCAGCATCCTCAGCAGCAGCACGAGCATCAGCATCAGCATCAGCAGCATCATCATCATCATCATCATCATCATCATCATCATCATCATCATCATCATCATCATCATCATCATCATCATCATCATCATCACCAGCATCCGCAGCAGCAGCAGCAGCAGCAGCAGCAGCAACATCAGCATCCTCATCATCATCAGCAGCATCATCATTAGCAGCATCATCATCTTCAAATCGTCCTCATCATCCTCATCATCAGCAGCATCATAATCATCGTCGTCAGCAGCATTATCGTCATCGTCGTCGTCAGCATCATCATCATCAGCATCATCATCAGCATCACCATCACCAGCATCATCATCATAATCCTCATCAGCGTCATCACAGTCATCATAATCATTATCAGCAGCAGCAACATCAGCATCAGCATCGTCATCAGCAGCAGCATCATCATAATCACATTTAGCATCATCAGAATGATCACCACCAGCATTCCTCCTCCTCCTTCTCCCCCTCCTCCTCCTCCGCCTCCTCCTCCTCCTCCTCCTCCTCCTCCTCCTCCTCCTCCTCCTCCTCCTCCTCCTCCTCCTGCTCATCATCCTCCTCGTCCTCCTCGTCCTCCTCCTCCTCCCGCTTTGTTCTTCGAACAGGATTGCTCCGATTGCCAGAGAGTGGCCGCCGTCTCAAACACCGCTGGTGCACGCCAAGCCGAATGTGATAAGCGGATCTGATGCCGGGCCGCGCCCCGTGATAAGTCTATCCTCTCCCCATCCAGCACCCCGCCAGACCTGAGGTGACTTTTCTTTACAGTGGAGGCCATTCCACAGGAAACCTTCCACAAGAAACCCAACCCTGAGATCTCAGGACATCCATTGACCTCTGGTGTGGGAGCGTCACGCCCTCCATCGCAAAACCATGGAAACCCCAGAAACCCAGGGCACCCTGGAGGCAGGCAGGGTGTTTCTTGGCACGGGTCTCCACCGTGTCTGGGCTCGTGCCGCGCCTCGTGAGAATTTGATATGACTCCGCTGTCGTCGCCGCTCCAGCTTCCATCCCCCCCTCCCTCGCTCGTCCCTCCTCCTCCTCTGCATTGGGTCGGGCATGGCCCCCCACAGGCAGATTCGCCTCGTGAAAATTTGATATGACTCCGCTGTCGTTGCCGCTCCAGCTTCCATCCCCCCCTCCCTCGCTCGTCCCTCCTCCTCCTCCTCCTTTGCATCGGGTCGGGCATGGCCCCCCACAGGCAGATTCTGGAGGGGAAGACTGAAAAGATGGTCCGGGGATGCTAAAAAAATGCTCCAACAAATAGTCGCGAGGCATCGTCCCCAGGCCATGCTTGTGACTACTTCTGAACACTCCTCCCGTGTAGGGGCATGCCCGACGCAACGGCTGCCCGCAATCGCACCCGCGGCACCCTTCACACAAAAAACAAAAAAAATCGGTTTATATATATATATATATATATGCGTGTGTGTTTGAGCATATAATATATATGTTTATATATATGTGTACATATATATATATATGGTTTTTATAACCAAAAAACAAACAAACAAACAAACAAACAAAAAAAACGGTCAGGGCCACGCCTGGGCGGCCCGCGGCGGCCGCACCCGCGAGGATGCGCGCTCCTCGGCCCCAGGCCCAGCGAAAAAGAGGTGCCTCCTCCTCCAACATCCTCCTCCTCCAACCTCCTCCTCCTCCTCCTCCTCCAACCTTCTCCTCCAACCTCCTCCTCCTCCAACCTCCTCCTCCTCCAACCTCCTCCTCCAACCTCCTCCTCCTCCAACCTCCAACCTCCTCCTCCTCCATCCTCCTCCTCCTCCTTCTCCTCCTCCTCCTCTCTCCTCCTCCTCCTCCTCCAACCCACCAACCTCCTCCAACCTCCTCCAACCTCCCAACCTCCTCCAACCTCCTCCAACCTCCTCCAACCCTCCTCCTCCTCATCCTCCTCCTCCTCCTCCTCCTCCTCCTCCTCCTCCTCCTCCTCCTTCTGCCACTCGTCCTCCTCATGGTTTGCTAGAGGAGCTTTCCTTTCTCCCTTGGCCCTTTTTCCCCCGTGGGGAGCCCGAGGTTCAGGTTCGTCGGATCAACAGGCCGTCCTCGGGACTGCTCACCGCCGTGATTTTCAGCGACGGCTCGGCTTTCTGGCCAGGGCTCCCTGGTGTCAGTCGGGCTGGGTGGGCCCTGGTCCAGGTCGATAGGCTCGGGAATGCGCTGCAGGCCCTTCTGGGCCTGTGCCTTTCAAAGTCGGGGCCTCGCCAGACTGCTAAGGATGGTGAGGATTTTGCCATTCACATGCTAGCGTTTTTAGGCATGGGACCGTTTGAGCTGTACTTTGATTCGGCGGTGGACAAGCCTCCCTTTAGCAAACCTCCCCTTAGTGAAACCGGCCTGGGACCGAAACCGACGGACCTGGACACGCAGAAATGACGGCCGCGGCGCCCTCTCGCGAACCGAAAACGACCAATTCGCTGATTGACGTGTCAGGGTAGGAGGCCTGTGCACGCCCGATTGACTGCCAGTCGACGCTCGGTGTTCTCTGTAGGCGGCCAGGGTCCGGCGCCGTTGCGGGCGCGGTCAAGGCGCACCCGTGGGGCCCCCTTCTGGAGGGCCTGTGGAGCCTCCGATTTCCGAGCCCCCAAGCAGGCCTTTGGAGCCTCCGACTGCAGGCCTTTGGAGCCTCCGACGAATGACGTCGACGCAGGGAGATCCACGTGGTGGGAACCTAAGGCGGACCAGAGCGCCGATACGTACGCCGAAGCAGGTGCCGCTGTGCACGGGCCGGCGGGAGAAGGCGCCAATGCTTTTCCAGGTTTCAAGGCGTTGGCGGCGGAGGCTTCCTTGTGGGGAGGCAGGCTGAAAGTCAGCCTGTCCCTTCGGTCGACCGATCGTCAGGACACGGTTGGACTGGCGCCGCCAGGTGTGCCGCCCGCGTCCGCAGGCGACCTCGACGTTCCAGCGGGAGTTGAGCGGCTAGACACCGCCGAGCCCCCGCCCGTGGAGGAGGAGGAGGAGGAGGAGGAGGAGGAGGAGGAGGAGGAGGAGGAGTGCGTCGTTGAGCCGCCGTCGTCTGTCGAGGCGGGGGAGGCTTGTCAGGAAGAATGGGCTGAGCAGTTGTCTTCGGCCTTTTATGTCCAAGGGCGTGGCCTCGCAAAATGCCTGATCGAGACCCCCTCGCGGGAGGGCGCGTCCACTCTGTTTTGTACTCGTTCAGGCGCTTATGGGTCGGACAACAGACCTGGACCCGTGATGAGGGAAAGGTGCAACGGCCGACCCGCGAGCCCTGGAGCCAGAAAAGCAGAGCGCGCAGGGGAAAGCACCCCCACCAGCGGGCCTCCACCGAGTCTCTCGTGCTCGGCCCGCCGTGTCCGCTGAGCGCTCAGGGGCGAGCGGAGATCGAGAGAGACTGGTAGGTGGGCCCCTCCCCGCTCCTCGGGTCGAGGAGCCTGGCGATTGTCGGGTCCCAGGTGTTGCCTCCAAGGCTTCCGTGCTGGCCTCCTTCGGCATGGAAGAAGCCGACCTCCCTACAGGGCCGTTTTTTGACATGCTCCGCGTGCGGATCACGTATTAGAAATGCAGGGATTTAGTTTTAAAAACAACGATGAGTTCACGCATATATCTTTTTCATAGATTAATCATGGATTGAAAATCCTATGGTTTAAAAAATCCTATGTATTCAAAACCGCCCTGTGGGGTGAGGGCCCTAGGGGAGGCGTCGCTGCGGGGCGCTCGGAGGGGCAGGGGCGAGGAGCCCGACGCCTCGGGGAGCGATCTCGAGTTCTGCTTCCGAACCCGCCTTTCAGACCAGCCACCACCACGTCCTCATCATGGTCCTGCTCCTCGTCCTTGCCCTCCTCCTCCTCCTCCTCCTCCTCCTCCTCCTCCTCCTCCTCCTCCTGCCCCATCGTCCTCGTCATGTTCCTGCTTCTCGTCCTTGTCCTCCTCCTCCTCCTCCTCCTCCTCCTCCTCCTCCTCCTCCTCCTCCTCCTCCTCCTCCTCTTCCGCCTCCCGCCCCCCCCCTTCTCCCCCCCCTCTCCTCCCCTCCTCCCCCGTCCCCGCCCGCTCTGGCCACACCGACTGTGCTTCAAGCCGCCAACGTCCGAGCACTCCGGGGAGCCGCCCAGCAGGAAGGCCATAAACCTGACGACTATGTCGACGCCGTCGCTCTCGTACAGCTTCGGCGAGGAGCCGTCCTCATCACCACCAGCACCAAGCAACCCAACCATGGTCATCACCACCACATCCACGATGCTCAATAGCGGCATCGTCATCTCCATCGTCACGCACCAATCATCCTCACCATAGCTATCACCACCACCACGACGAGCATCAATGGTGCCCCCGTCATCTCCACCACATCCACGATGCTCAATACCGGCATCACATCTCCATCATCACGCACCAATCATCCTCACCATGGCTATCACCACCACCACGACGAGCATCAATGGCGACCCCGTCTTCTCCATCGTTCTTGCCATCGGCCTCAGCTTCGCCGATCATCACGATCATCAGTGTCATCGTCGCCATCGCCGTCGCCGCTGCTCCTGGCCCCAGCTCTACTGAACACCTGGTCGTCATCGTCACCGTCGAGCATCGTCGTGGTCGTCGTCGTCGTCATCGCCATCCGCGATCTGCAGTCTGGGCTCACGCCTCGCGCGCCCGAGCCGTGCGTCCGCGCTCGGGCGGCTGGCCACGTGCACTCCGCACCCCCGCGTGGCAGGCACGGCTGCCCCGCACCTCCCCCGCCTGCGACGCGCGGGCGGTGCACGGCGGGGACCCGAGGCGGGTGTGCAGGCCCTGCCGACGTCGAGGCGCGCAGGTGCCGCCAGACCGCCCGAGCCAGCGGTTCTGCAGGACGTCGGGCGGTGCCGAGGGACGTCTCGGGCGCCGCGGCCTCCTCAGAGCGTTCGGGAGCGCTCGCGAGCGCCTGGGGAGCGCCTATGGGGAGCGCCTATGGGGAGCGCCTACAGGGAGCGCCTGGGAAGCGCGTGCGAAGCGCCTGGGAAGCGCGGTCGGGAGCGCCTGGGAAGCGCTCGCGGGAGCGCCGGCCGGCGCCCGCGAGCGCCCCGGAAGCGCCTAGGGAGCGCCTGCAGGGAGCGGCCCGAGAAGCGAGCGCCTAGGGAGCGCCTGGGGAGCGCCTGGAATGCGAGCGTGCTGGCACGTTCAGGAACCTTCTGCTGCCCCCTATCGCACCACGTCCCAGAAAAGAATTCGAGCACCCAGAAAAAGTATCGAAACGGTGTCGAGTGAATCATCGCCTCCCGGGGGCCCGACACGTGAGGCGCTACGAGTTCTCCACTTGTTTCTGGTGTTCGGAACTCTTTCTGGTGGTCACGGCTAAAGTGCACAACTGGAAAGGATGTGCCCTCGTCCCAGCCTTAAGTCGGGCACGTCCCCCCACAGGCCGATTTTGGACGAAACATTAAAGACAGCCCCCGCCACCAAAAAAACATCGAAAATACTCCAGAAATACCTGGAAAAAATCGTTGTCGCACTGCTGTTGTACTATTTTCGCATATTCCTCCTGTAGGGGGACAGGCCCGACCTGATCCCAGCCCCGCCCGACCGCCCGAACCGCCCAAAAAAACATCGAATATATTCAAAAAGTAACTGAAAAATCGTCCCCAGGCTGTTTCTTGTTCTATGTTCGAAAATTCCTCCTGTAGAGGGACAGGCCCGACTTGATCCCAGCCCCGCCCGACCGCCCGAACCGACCAAAAAAAACATCGAATACATTCAAAAAATACCTGGAAAATCGTCCCCAGGCTGTTTCTTGTACTATTTTCGCATGTTCCTCCTGTAGGGGGACAGGCCCGACTTGATCCCAGCCCCGCCAGTTGCTTCTTTGCCTTCTTGTGACGGCGTCCACTCTGGCGACCCCTCTCTCCCCATCCTCTCCCGCGCTCCTCCTCCTCCTCCTCCCTCCTCCTCCCCCTCCTCCTCCTCCTCCTCCTCCTCCTCCTCCTCCTCCTCCCCCTCCTCCTCCTCCTCCCTCCTCCTGCTCCTCCTCCTCCTCGGAGGAGGAGGAGGGAGGAGGAGGGAGGAGGATGCAGGAGGAGGAGGAGGAGGAGGAAGAGGAGGAGGAGGAGGAGGAGGAGGAGGGAGGAGGAGGAGCAGGAGGAGGAGGCGGAGGAGGTCATCGGACGATCGGGATGATCACCTGCCAGCCCCGCCGCTCGGCGCGCCACGCCTGGAAGAACCGGGACACGTGCTGCTGGCGCTCACCGGAGACGGCGAGGACGGTGGGCAGGGCCTGGGGCAAGAGGGGGGGCCGGGAGGCAGTTCCTTGGAGGAGGAGGAGGAGGAGGAGGAGGAGGAGGAGGAGGAGGAGGAGGAGGAGGAAGAGGAGGAGGAGGAGGAGGAGGAGGAGGTGAGGAGGGGAGGAGGAGGGGAGGAGGAGGAGGAGGAGGAGGAGGAGGAGGAGGAGGAGGAGGAGGAGGAGGAGGAGGAGGAGGAAGGGAGGAGGATGGGACGGACAGAGACATACTAGTACCATACGTTCTCCTTGGAGGCGCGCGTCCGACCCGAACACAAATAGCACACCCGTCTCGTAGTAGATCGTTTCCCGAGCGGTGTGGCCAGAAAGCGCCCGCCACGACGCATGCACTACAAGACTTCTCGGTGCGCGCGTCGCCCCCGGGGGGGCGACGCACATGCAGTATAAGCATGTTGAGGTGACGCCGATGGGAGGGCTGCTGATGAAGGAGCCCAGGGACGCACAACCAAATAGACACGGGTCCCAGGATCCCCCGCATCTTCGTTCTCTTCTGGATGCTCGTCTTCCCCTCCACTGCCCATATTTCCATAAGTTCCTGGGAATCGACGATTCTTTGGGTCTGTGTATGTTTCCCCTCCTGAACTGAATGGAGCCCGATTCAAGGGCCAGATTCGGCTGGACTAAGCGTGGGATTGAGCCAAGTTGCAAGGGTCAAAGCCAGACTAAGCGGGATTAGGCCGGACTGGGCCGGTTTTCGACCACCTATCTACCAGCGCCGATGCCCCCGCAGCACGCCTTGGAGACGGGCGTCGCGAGAGGCAGATAAGCGACACCGAGAAGTAAGGGGAGGATAGAGGGCAGAAAATCCACCCCGATAACGACCACCCCGACACGCGAGGCCTTCAGTAAACGCGCCCAAAGAAGGACTCGAACATGGCAGGGCTGTCTAGTAAACGCCCAGGGCCGTTTAGCAAACGCCAATTGTCTGGTCCGGGTGGTTTTTCCTCCCTTGAATGGAGGCCGCGGAGGGGGGTCGGATCAGAGCGGAGCGCTTGTGCGGGCCTTCGCCCAAGCCCCACGAGGCCGAAGCGGGCGAGGCCATGGCCTCGCACCGGGGATCTGCTGAGCCGGGTCAATCCAGGCCCGGGCCAGTCAGGCCTTGCAGAATCTTGCAAGATCCTGCAAGATCCTGCGCCCGAGCCCGGGTCAACGCGAAGGGTCCTGCCAGATCCTGCAGGGTCCTGCCCCCGAACCCAGGTCGACGCGGCCCTGTAGCTGCAGGATCCTGCAGGATCTGGCGCTCTGGCTGACCCCCGTGTGCATTGACCCCCTTCTCGAGGCACCCGACGTCGCATGAACAACTTCGCGCGCCGGGTGCACACTCGGGCATTCGTGCAGCTCACGGAAGCCAGCCGTTCCGACTTCTCTGTGGTAGTGCCAGGAGGGGGAAGGAAACTGGACACTGCAAACTGGATCGGTCCCGAAGGCGGGGAAGGGGCAGAAGGAAGGAGGAGGAGGAGGAGGAGGAGGAGGAGCCAGGAGGAGAAGCCAGGAGGGTACGGTACGGTACGATACGACTCGCCCTTGGGATGGCGGGTGACACGGTGAAACGGAACAGCACCACAGACTCGGGAGGCTGGAGCACCCTGGCCGTCACCGCTCTCAGAATCGGCGGTGGACAAACCTCCCTTTAGTAAACCTCCCCTTGGCGAAGACGGCCTGGGACCGAAACCGACGGAGGACCCGCAAAAATGACGGCCGCGACGCCCTCTCGCGAACCGAAAACGGCCAATTCGCTCATCGACGCGTCAGGGTAGGAGGTCAATCCACCTCCGACAAAAGCAGACCCGTACTGCAGGTCCGTGCCGTGTCGACCCTGGCGTTGGTTCCTGACACCGCGCTGGATCGTTCAACCTTGAACGATCGGCCGTCTCCGCAACGTCCGATCGTTCAACATCGACCGATTCTGGGCCGCCGTCGGCGTTCAACGTTGAACGCCCGCGCTGGGGTCGCCGCTGGTCGACACGACGCGAACCTACCGTAGGCTCCCGGAGACGCCTTGGGCCTCTCGAGCCTTCTGGGCTTCTGACTCCGGCCTGTTCGGTCCCGGCCGAGGACGCGGCCCCGGGCAGACCCTGCAGGTCTCGGGGGAGCGAGAGCTGGCTCCTCCTCCTCCTCCTCCTCCTCCTCCTCCTCCTCCTCCTCCTCCTCCTCCTCCTCCTCCTCCTCCTCCTCCTCCTCCTCCTCCTCCTCCTCCTCCTCGGGGAATCCCACTCCACGAGGGATCACCAGGAAGGGACGGCCCTGATGGGGCAACGGGGCCTTAGCCGATCTCTCTCCTCGCCTCGGGGCCCTCCACGGGCGCCCCCGGGGGCCGTCGGCACGACCCAGGAGGAGGCACTGCTCTACAGTCGGGGCGTTGACCTAAGGAACCCTAAATAAGGAACGAGGCCCCTTTTTTCCATAAGGTAACCTTCGATTTCCCGTCGAAAACATGAGGAAAGCCTGAGGCAAGCTGTGAAACACTTAAGGAACGCGGAGCCCCTCCCCAACCAAAAGGGTTCCTTCTTCAGGGCCCCGACTGTGGGGGACAGCCCTGAAAGCCAGGACCCGCTTCCCTCGGGACCCACCCCCCTGAGACCCCGGCCGTCGAGCGGACAATGCAACCTCGTGAAAAGGCAAGACCAGAGCCCGAGGCCCCAGGCTTGGGTCGGGCGTGTCCCCCTACAGGCGGACTGTTGGCGAATAATAAGAACTACCAAACTAATACTCCCGAGAGAAAAAAAAAAAAAAAAAAAAAAAAAAAAAAAAAAAAAAAAAAAAAAAAAAAAAAAAAAACGTCCCCCAACTATTTGTTGACTATTTCAAAAGATTCCCCCTGTAGAGGGACGGGCCCGACTTAACCCTAGGCCCCATCCTTCGGCCGCATCTTTCGAGCCGCATCGACCTGCCATGCTCCCCAGGGGCCGAGACCGGACGAGAACGCCATGCGAAAAGAATGGCAACGCCGGGATCTCGAGGACGGCCTGCCACCGCACCGTCGGGGGACCCCGAACTGACGCACATTCTCAGGATCACCGAGAGGAGGAGGAGGAGGAGGAGGAGGAGGAGGAGGAGGAGGAGGAGGAGGAGGAGGAGGAGGAGGAGGAGGAAGGAGGAGGAGGAGGAGGAGGAAGAGGAGGAGGAGGAGGAGAGGAGGAGGAGGAGGGGGAGACGGAGGAGGGGGAGACGGAGGAGGGGGAGAAGGAGGAGGGGGAGACGGAGGAGGGGAGACGCACATTCTCAGAATCACCGAGAGGAGGAGGAGGAGGAGGCGGAGGAGGAGGGGAAAGGGGAGGGGGAGACAGAGGAGGGGCAGGAGGGGGAGACGGAGGAGGGGGAGAAGGAGGAGGAGGGGGAGGAGGGGGAGGAGAGGCGTTCCAGGTGGCTCCAGAGGACGGCGGCGGAGGTGGGGCCGAGCCGAGGCGGGGAGGCCTGGCCGCTGCACGCCCCGAAGCCGGGGGCGGCGATGCGCGCCAGGCGGAGGTGGCCGCACCCCGGGGGGCTGCACTCCGCGAAGGCGACCTATAGGGCGAAGCCAGGACGAGGAAAATTATCCCGGAATTTCTAAGAATTCCTAAGGATTCCTAAGAATTCCTAAGGATTCCTAAGGATTCCTAAGGACTCCTGGGACTGTACTTTTGTCCGGATCTGTCCGGATCCTGCCCAGACCCCCCTGGGGCGTCAAGATGCTCTCTTTTGAGCCCACTAGAAACCTATCAGCAAAAGCTGTTAGGCAAAATCGTATGAAGATGAATTTGGGCGTCCCTTAAATAGGGGGCGACAGATGGGGGGGGGGGAGAGGGGTGCACTTCTTGGGCCCGAGAGGGCCTGCCTTTGGGGGGACCCCGGAGGGCCCCCTCGGGAGCCCTCTGGGGCCCTTGTTCTGCAGCCCTCGCTGCCCGCCCACTCCTCGCCCCCCGATTACGCGACACCCATCCAAGCGAGAATCTCTGCGATCCGGAGGCTCTGAAGCATGTCTCGGGCGCCGCCGCCTTCTTATCGGGGGGGGCACAAAGGTGGGGTTGGGGCCAGGGTGGGGTTGGAGGGACAATCGCTCCGGACGGCCCCTGAAAGAAGGAAACGCGTCCAGCTGGGCAGGCACGCTCCAGAGCGGAGTTCTCCTCGTCCTGGCTCCGCCCGGGGACCTCCTCCACGGGCGAGAACGGGTCGTCGTCCCGCGGGAGCGCCGCCCGCCAGCTCTCCAGGTCGCGGGGTACTTGCCCTGGGCAGGCTGGGGGGATGCCGCAGCGTGATGCGAAGGTCCCACGCCCCTGCTCCTCCACTTCCCCCTCTGTCCTCTTCTTAAAGTTAGGCCCTCCCTGTCGCACCCCTGGATTTGTGGGGAGGGCGGGCCAGGCGTTTCGCCTGAGACTCCCTCGCCATGTATTATCCTGAAGCTGGAACCTTGCAATAGTTTCACGGATGAAGGGCGGGCGGTTTTCAAAACATACTCTCCCCTGAGCGCCGCGCACAGTCGTATTAAAGTTGGTGACCGCTTCACGGATGGAGGGCTGCTCGTTTTCAAAAGGTAGCTCTCGCCTGAGCGCCAAAGTACGACAGTTTCACCGACGGGGGTCGGTTCCTTTTCAAAATGTGGCTCTCGTCTGAGCGCCGCGCATATTTGTTCAAAAAACTACGACAGCTTCACCGATGGAGGGCGGTTTCTTTTCAAAATGTGGCTCTCGCCTTCGCGCCTCGCACATACGTCTTCGGATGGAGGGCGGCTCCTTTTCAGAGTGTAACTCTCGCCTTAGCGCGGCGCACATTCGTCTGAAAGTTTGAAGCAGCTTCAAGGATGGAAGGCGGCTCATTTCCAAAATGTGTATCTCGCCTGAGCGCCGCGCACATTCGTCTCAAAGGTTTGCAGCAATTTCAAGGTTTCGAATGGTCGAAGTAGGATTGTCAGTACGCAGCAATTACTTCGATTCGCGGATCGATTGACGATTACAAGACCGTTGCCTTCTAATGGGTCGTTTCCCAGAATGAAAAGTGAGTTCTTCTAGAGACCTGTAAAGCGGAAACTTCGAGGGAGGTTTACTGCAACATGGTTGATGCGTCTTGGGCTTACACTGGTCTTCTTCCTCCTCCTCCTCCTCCCCCCTCCCCCTCCTCCTCCTCCTCCTCCTCCCAATGGTGGTGGTGGTGGTGGTGGTGGTGGTGGTGGTGGTGGTGGTGGTGGTGGTGGTGGTGGTGGTGGTGGTGGTTGTAGTATGTCGATCATGGCCCCGCGGCGTCTATACTCGGTACGTAGCACAAAGCCGCGGCATTCGTCATGGCCATGGGGTAGTATGGCTGGGGACGCGGTGACGCGGCGCGTGGGGCGGGCTGGCATGGCTTCGACGCATCGCGACGTGGGTGATCTTGGCTGCAAGATTTTGAAATCGGAAAGCTCGTTCTTTGTCTTGGGCCCTGGCCGGGCGTAATCGCGAGGAGAGTGAATCACGATCATGTGGTCCTCGGAGGGCGCCCAGAGAGAGATAAAGAGAGAAAGACCACAGAAGTAGCATCGTGGATTCGTTGGGGGAAGTGGTGGAGATGTGGCAGCGTGGTGAATTGCTGGGGGTAGGAGAGAAGCCCTGTTGATGAGTCGTAGGGGCGACGCGGTCGGCGCGTTAGACGTCGCGTCGCATGGAGAAGCGGTCAACGATTGGTCTTGAGTAGTGTTGGTGGTGCGTTGCACGAAGGCGCACTGCGTGAAGGGCATCAGAAATTGCTGGGTGATGGTGGTCTCATCAAATGGGACTCTTCGACTCAGGGAGGACTCGACAGCATTCTGGGCATAGCGGCGGTATGCACAACACACACCAGGGCGTTGCAGCTGCTCAGCTCTGATAGTAAACTGGACATGTCAGATTTGTTTGGTGGCTCGCTGCAGTAGCGGCGTTCGCTTACAAAACAGGCAAGCTGGTGTGGAGGGAAATGTACTGGAGCCATCGTGCCGTTATTTGATTCAAAGTCTTCACGTATGAACGGCACGTCGTCGCCGCGTCCGTTGTGATTACAGTCGTGGCAGCACCGTGTCACAGTGACGATATCGGAGTTCCAAAGCTGTTTCCCGTCCAGGTGGCGCTGGCGGCGACAAGGGTGTGTGTGTGTGTGTGGCAGGTGTATCAGGTCGCGTAGCTGCAATCGCTGTTGAATCGGTAGCCATTGCCGTCGTATCCAGAAGCTGTTGTCCGACTCACCATGGTTGGGCGGCCAGGTGGGGTGCCGTTTGACATGACTCTGTATCCGCCTCGATGCATGGCAAGAGTGTGGCTCAGCAGCCGAAGTGGAGTCGGGACGGCACAGAAGATCGGAGGTCGCGATGTCCTTAGGCTCCTTGTGTGCTTAGGGCGCCTATTGATGGTTAAGCCGCTTCGTGTGGATTGGCATGGCCGTGGTAGGAGAAGCAGGGAGCAGAGAGGCAGACGGGATCAGGTAGGAGGGAGGGGGGAGGAAGAGAATGGGCGAAGGGCGACAAGAGGAGGAGGAGCAGCAGGAGGGGAGACGGGGGTGGATGCTTGAGGGCAGCAAGAGGAAGAAGATCAGGACGAGCACGAGGAGGGGAGGACGACGAGGGCCGCGATGCGAAGGGGAGCTGACGAGGAGGCGCACATGAGGACGAGAAGAAGCCGAGGCCGCGAAGCAGTGGCACAAACGACGAGTTCACGAAGCCGGCAGCACCAGCAGGGGCTGGCAAGCAGGAAGCGCGTCACGCGGGCAGGATGCCCAAAACCCTGGTCTCGGGGCCCTCCCACCAGGACCCGCTTCTCGCCCCGAGCCCCCTCTCGACGGCCCCCCCTGGGGCCCAGGGAGGATCCCGCGGGACCCCTCTGGGACCCTTCGGGGAACAAAAAGTGACATAAACATAAAAACTCGGAGGTCCGCGCGGGTTTCTCGGATCGGCGCTGGACCCCCCTCCCTGGCGCGCGGAGCGCGCCAGGGGCGGCGCCGGAGGCGCCGCTGGAGGGGCCCAGCGCCGATCCGAGAAACCCGCGCGGACCTCCGAGTTTTTATGTTTATGCCACTTGTTGTTCCCCTAACCCTGTTCTCTCGGGAGCCCTCCACCTCCACCCGGACATCCTCAGATACGACTCCTGTCCACATCCGCGGCCCAGAGCTCCCGACCTCCCCATTCCCCGGGCGCAGCAGTGCGCCCCGGATCGGTGCTCGGTGGCCCCCTCCCGCCCAGGACGGGCCCCGGGCCGAACTGCCGGAAAGACGCCCGGATTGGAGGAGGAGGAGGAGGAGGAGGAGGAGGAAGAGGAGGAGGAAGAGGAGGAGGAGGAAGAGGAGGAGGAGGAGGAGGAGGAGAAGGAGGAGGAGGAGAAGGAGGAGGAGGAGGAGGAGGAAGAGGAGGAGGAGGAGGAGGACATGCCGGACTATCGTTGGAGAGTTCTGGGTCCGTGGCAGTGGGCGCGCGTCTTGCCCGGGGCCCGACGCTGCGGTAAAAGGATGCAGCATCGCAAAAACTCACGACGGGAGCCCAAGACCCAGTCTTTCCTCCTCCTCCTCCTCCTCCTCCTCCTCCTCCTCCTCCTCTCCTCCTCCTCCTCCTCCTCCTCCTCCTCCTCCTCCTCCTCCTCCTCCTCCTCCTCCTCCTCCTCCTCCTCCTCCTGGGGGGGGGCACAAGGTGGGGTTGGGGCAGAGGCGGGGTTGGAGGGAGAATCGCTCCACACGGCCCCTGGAAGAAGGAAACGCGTTACACGAGAGCATCCGGCTGGGCCCGTTCCCCAGCCCCACCTTGGGGTAGCCCTCCCTCTGCGAACCCCGGACGCTTTTGAGCCGGGCCGATCTGTGAGGGTCCCCGAGCCCGAGCGCGGGGGAAACCGCCCAGTGCGACAAGAACTGCAGCGCCCGGATCTGAGAGGATCCATGGCGGAGGGGGCATGTTTGACTACCGACCAAACCATCCCAACCCAACCCGAAGGACCGAACTTTGCACGAATTTCGGGTTGGGGGGGTGAGGGTTCCATGTGTTTTTCGGTGTTCCCCGACCCTCCCCCCTACTAGAAATGGAAGGCAAATCGGGGCCTTCAGGTTGGGTTGGGGTGGTTTGGTGGGCGGTGAATGTTGGGGTGCGCGCGCGCGTCGGCCCCCCCCTTGTATCAGCCTCGAACATGTCCCTGCCCCTATGATGGGCATCGCCTCATTTCGATGCTGATCTCAGGGATCCCCTCCGTTGCTGAGGGCCTCGTGGCTTGCCAATCCAGGAGAGCCCCGAATCGAATCGAAAAGTCGGATCGGCGATCGAAGTGAATCGGATCGGCGGAACTCGGCAGCCGAGCCGGGAGGAGCCGAATCGGCAGACATCGGCAGGCTTGTAGGCCTCCATTGAGAAATCGGATCGCTCATCGGAATCCGACGCCGAACCCAATCGGAATCGGCGCCGTCCATCGAAATCGAACCGAATTGAATCGGAAGAACCGAAATGAGCCCTGTCCATGCTGGGGATACCTTCGGGGTTGGACAGACCCCCCTTTAGTAAAACGTAATTTAGTGATAACGACCCGAGGCCCAAACCTGGCGGGCGCAAGCCTGGAAAATAAGGGCCACGGCGCCCTCTCGAGAACCGAAAACGGCCAATTCACTAATCGACGTGTCACTGTTGGGGGTTCTGTCCACCTCCGATACCTACTGGGATCAGGTCGAGGCTGCTGACCCCGGGCGTCCGGTTTCCCAGAGCTGCGGGGGCGGCACCATGGCGCGCGGGCCCCCGGCCGCCACGGCGGCCGCCGCGGGGGGTGCCCGCAGCAGCGGCGGCGACGGGCCCGGGCGCCCACGGGCCTCGCGGGGCCGGGCGGCGCTGCCCCCACGGCAGCGTCGCGCCGGGCCTCCCCCGAGCCCGCAAAAGCT